TTTTACATTTCTACTGCTTGTTTCTTTATTATTATTATTATTATTTTTTTAAATTGAAGTATACTTGATTTACAATGTTGTGTTAATTACTGCTGTATGGCAAAGTGATTCAGTTATTTCTTTTTTAAAATATTCTTTTCCATTATGGTATGTCATAGGATATTGAATATAGTTATCTGTGCTGTACAGTAGGACCTTGTTGTTTATCCATTCTGTATATAAAAGCTTACATCTGCTCACCCCAACCTCCCACCCCATTCTACCCCCATCTCCCTCCCCCTTGGCAACCACCAGTCTGTTCTCTGTGTTTGTGATTCTGTTTCTGTTTCATAGACAGGTTCATTTGTGTCATATTTTAGATTCCACGTATAAGTGATATCATGTGGTATTTGTCTTTCTCTGTCTGACTTACTTCACTTAGTATGATAATCTCTAGTTGCATCCATTTTGCTGCAAATGGCATTATTTCATTCTTTTTTATGGCTTAGTAATATTCCATTGTGTAGGCATACCACATTTTCTTTATCCATTCCTCTGTTGATGGACACTTAGGTTGTTTCCATGTCTTGGCTATTGTGAACAGTGCTGCTATGAACATAGGAGTGCATGTATCTTTTTGAATTATAGTTTTGTCTGGATATATGTCCCAGAGTGGGATTGCTGGATCATATGGCAATTCTATTTTTAGTTTTATGAGGAATCTTCATACTGTTTTCCACAGTGGGTGTACCAATTTACATTCCCACCAACAGTGTAGGAGGCTTCCCTTTACTTTTCTTCACACCTACTCTCCAGCGTTTGTTATTTGTAGACTTTTTAATGATGGCCATTGTGACTGGCATGAGGTGGTACCTCACTGTAGTTTTTATTTCATTTCTCTAATAATTAGTGATGTTGAGCATCTTTTCATGTGCTTATTGGCCATCTGTATTTCTTCTTTGGAGAAATGCCTATTTAGGTCTTCTGACCATTTTGGATTGGGTTATTTTTGTTCTTGTTGTTGAGTTGTATGAACTGTTTATATATTTTGTTTTTTTTGTTTTTGCGGTACGTGGGCCTCTCACCGCTGTGGCCTCTCCCGTTGCGGAGCACAGGCTCCGGAGGCACAGTCTCAACGGCCATGGCTCACAGGCCCAGCCGCTCCACGGCATGTGGGATCCTCCCGGACCGGGGCACGAACCTGTGTCCCCTGCATCGGCAGGCGGACTCCCAACGACTGCACCACCAGGGAAGCCCTGTTTATATATTTTGGAAATTAAACCCTTGTTGGTCGCATCATTTGCAAATATTTTCTCCTGTTGTGTAGGTTGTCTTCACTCTCCTCTATTAATGATTTTAAAAATCAAGCATGTACGGCAGATCAGTATTAGAGAGATTTCTGTGTCTGTTATTACCAAGAGCTCAGAGTGAGAAATATGTTTGAATACTTGAAAAGACTGTGAGAAGAAACAAGACTTGAAGTATGGCTTTATGATAAACCACTCAGAAAACCTCAGTCATCCAATACTAAAAACACAGAAGATAAACAGGCATTTACTAAACTCATTGTCTCCAGCACATGACATGTGACATATTAAGGCATCTTTTGCTCCCATCCTGGTATATGTAGCAGAACAACAGGTTTTAAATAGACACCAGCACTTCTGCTCAAATACATTGCGCAATTTTTTTTTTTTTTTTGAGGTACACGGGCCTCTCACTGTTGTGGCCTCTCCCATTGCAGAGCACAGGCTCCAGATGCGCAGGCTCAGTGGCCATGGCTCACGGGCCTAGCCGCTCAGCGGCATGTGGGATCTTCCCAGACTGGGGCATGAACCCGTGTCCCCTGCATCGGCAGGCAGACTCTCAACCACTGCCCCACCAGGGAAGCCCAGCAGATTTTTAAAAATATATTTTCCAATTCTACATACCCTGAAAGCTCTCATGGTCAATCACATCTTGACCCAAGGCAGCCCAGCAGTGTACACAGATATCTGTTTACTAAAGAGGAGCAGTTCCCTATTGAACAGTAGGAAGGAACTACAAAGCAGATAATGTATAAAGTCCCAAGACTGGTATTTCAATTGCTTTCAAGCAATTTATGCCTTAGTGATGAGGAGATAGATGAGATGATTGAAGGTGAGATTCCATTAATATGGATCCTGCAGGGGAATAATTGTTCATTGGTATTTTGCTCCATTGGGATGAGAGTTTGAAAAGCACTTCATATTTCTTTCTTTCTTTTTTTTTTAAATTTATATTTTTGGCTGCGTTGGGCCTTCGTTGCTGCACGCACGCTTTCTCTAGTTGTGGCGAGCAGGGGCTCCTCTTCATTGTGGTGTGCGGGCTTCTCATTGTGGTGGCTTCTTGTTGTGGAGCACAGGCTCTAGGCACATGGGCTTCAGTAGTTCTGAAACGCGGGCTCAGTAGTTGTGGCACGCAGGCTCAGTAGTTGTGGCTCATGGGCTGTAGAGCACAGGCTCAGTAGTTGTGGCACGCGAGCTTAGTTGCTCCGCGGCATCTGGGATCTTCCCGGACCAGGGCTCGAACCGGTGTCCCCTGCATTGGCAGGCGGATTCTTAACCACTGCACCACCAGGGAAGTCCTGAATATTTTTTAAACAGCTTTATTTGACATATGATTTATGTACCATAAGGTTTCCCTGTTCAAAGTGTAAAATTCCAGGGTGTTAGTATATTTACAATTGTGCAAGCATCCTCATATTCTGATTTTAAATCATTTTTATCACCCCAAAAGAAAACTGGTATCTGCTGGCAGTCACCCCTCATTCCAGGACTTCACCTACCCTTGGTCTAGGCAGTTTATTAATCTACTTTCTTTTTCTTTTTTTTTTAAAGGGAACTTTATTTTTATTAATTAATTTATTTATTTATGGCTGTGTTGGGTCTTCGTTGCTGCGCGGGCTTTTCTCTAGTTGTGGCGAGTGGGGGCTACTCTTCGTTGCCGTGCGCAGGCTTCTCATTGCAGTGGATTATCTTGTTGCGGAGCATGGGCTTTAGGTGTGCAGTCTTCAGTAGTTGTGGCACGTGGGCTCAGTAGTTGCAGCACACAGGCTTAGTTGCTCCGCAGCATGTGGGATCTTCCCAGACCAGGGCTCGAACCCGTGTCCCCCTGAATTGGCAGGCAGATTCTTAACCCCTGCACTACCAGGGAAGCCCTATTAATCTACTTTCTATCTCTATAGATTTGCTCATTCTGTGCCTTTCATATAAGTGTTATGTGGAGTCTTAATGTTCTTAAAGTTTATTGTTTTGTGCCACCGATCCGTACAACATTCCTCTTCTGGCAAATAATATTCCGTTGTGAGATTATATTGTGTTTGCTTATCCAAGTCACTTGATGATCTTTTGAGTTGTTTCCACTTTTTGGCTGTCATAAGTCATGCTGCTGTGAATATCTGCGTATTAATTTTTGTATTGGTGTTCGCTTTCACCTCCTCTCTTGGGTAGATAGATACCTAGGGTGGAATTGCTGTGTTATGTGGTGACACTGTATTTATCATTTTGAGGATCTGCTGGACTGTCTTCCAAAGTGGCTTCACCATTTTACCTTACCATCAACAGTGTGTGAGTTTCCAACTTCCCCACATCCTCGCCTGCCCCGCCTTGCCTTGTTTGTCCATCTTATATCCATCCTGGTGGGTGTGAAGTATCTGCCTGTAGCTTTGGCATTTCCCTGATGAGTAACGTCCAGCATCTTTTCATGGGCTTATCGGCCACTTGTATTTATTCTTTAGAGAAATGTCTGCTCACATTATTTGTCCATTATTTATGCATTATTTGTTTTTCTCTTGTTGCCCTTTATTTTTTATTATTGTCCTATTAGTTTTTAAAAATGTATTTAAAATACAAGTTTTTTATCAGGTGTGTGATTAGCAAACCCCAGTCGCAGCCTCAGGCGAGGCAGCCTTGCCTTCTTTGTAGCTGATGTATTTGGAATTTTTTATAATTTAGATTGTCAGACTATATTTTGGATTAAAATTCTAATTTATAAAAATAATTGCTTGCTTTGTATTTCAGGGGTCTGGTGTCATCCATATTGTCCTAAAGATAATAATTAGTTGTTTTTTTCTCTCTGTTCAACTCTCCTTTGGTCCTATTGCCATCAGATCCTTCTGCGACTCTTCTTCGTGGAGCATTTTCCTCCATTTCTGGGCACATGATTATTTATCTGAGAGGCCCTGCTGGCTTGACAGATCCCTCAGGAAACAGGCCTCCTCTTACCTCACAGCTGTCCCAGGCCCTGGGCCCTGGTCTGCGTCTGTGCCCTCGGTGTCCACCTCATCCTGGCAGGGGGTCATGTCTCTACCTCTGTCGGATATGAGGGGACTGGCCCAGGCTTTTACATGCTGTTCAGTCCAGGCGAGAGGTGTTCAGGTGCAGCAGCCCTGGAAAAATCAGTGTTCACGACCTCCTGACAGCCTGCTCCTGCTTGGAGTTTCAAGGAAATAACTTTTGACCAAACCAAGTATTCATTTCCTTCTTATCGGAATGATAATTTTATTTTCAGTCTTTACCACCTCAGGTTCTGCTCTCTCACTAAAAACAATTTTTTTTTAAATTGAAGTATAGTTGATTTACAATATTGTGTTAGGGGACTTCCCTGGTGGTCCAGCGGTTAAGACTATGAGCTTCCACTTCAGGGGTCGCAGGTTTGATCCCTGGTCGGGGAACTAAGATCCCACATGCTGGGTGGTGCAGCCAAAAAGTTAAAAAAAAATTGTGTGTTAGTTTCAGGTGTACAGCAAAGTGATTCCCTTACACACACACACACACACACACACACACACATATGTATGTATCTATAGTCTTTTTTTCCAATTCTTTTCCATTATAGGTTATTACAGTATATTGAATATAGTTCCCTGTGTAAATCCTGATTGTTTATCTATTTTATATTTGGTGAAAAACAGTTCTTGTTAATCATGTGTCTATAAGGCTACATCTATTGTTGCTGTTACACGTTGCTTCAGTTTCCAGCACTTACCATCACTGAGTAAAATGCATTTGATTGGCTTGGGTGTGTTCATTTCCCACAAGAGTGTAAGCTCAGGAGTCCTGGGAATTGAGGCCAGTTCCCGACTGCCAGCCTCCCCATCCTCCCACACACGGGGGTGAAGAGGGAGCCTTGCTGACACGGAACCTGTGGCTGTTTCAGGACTCGGTGGGCTTTGAGGACGTAGCTGTGAACTTCACCGCAGAGGAGTGGGCTTTGCTGGACCCGGCTCAGAGGAAGCTCTACAGAGACGTGATGCTGGAGACCTTCAGGAACCTGGCCTCCGTGGGTGAGGACGGCTTCCTCCCTGCACTTAGTCTTTAGGGAACAAATATTTCTTACAGTGTTCTTTCTTACTGGAACCAAGGAATAGGAATATGTTGAAGAACAGGCAGACATGGTCCCCACCTTTATAGAACCTACCTAGAGTCAAATAGCTTTTCCATGACAATAAATATTTCTATATTGAATTGATTTTTATTGCTCTTGATCAGGATCCTGAGGCTCCCTAATTGTGTAAATGGGAGCGTGGTCTCCAGTGTCACTTTGGGGCAGTGAGAGCAGCGTTACGGTTTTCACCCTGTGAAAGTTACACTGTGATCAGTACACATTTGACCTGATAATCTTGCTGCAGTTAAACCCAAACTCACCCATACTCAGTGACATGAGAACCAGAGAATCGGCCCATCTCATGGAGGGCTTGTTGTCCTCCATCCTCCCTGTGAGGAGCTTTTCTCCGCAAGCAGGACAGTAGCCACGCACTATCCGATCTCCCAGTGGCAGCTGGGTCAGTGGAGATAGGCTTTGTCTAGGGCCTCTGTGCCTGCGATCACCAGGAGGGCACACCTCTCAGGAGGAGCAGGTTCTGGATCAGGGAGAGATATTTGGACATAACTGTTAGAAACATGACTCTGTCTTTGAGAAGGTGACATTTGTCCTTAACTTGGCTTCCCTGTTGGACTTTTCATCCATCGTTTCCTGCTTGAGAAGTCTTTCTGTAGCTCCTTTTATAAAGGGAGCATTTGGGAATGTGCATTTTGCCCAGTTTCTTCCTACTTTGCTTCCCTGGTAATATTGATCTCGACATCAGTCTCCATTCTTTTTGAGGTATTTCTTAGTGGACAGGCTGCCATTTTGACTCATTTTCCCTACCATTGCCAAAGTTCCAAACAGATGAGGTCTTCAGAGTTTTTCTTTGCTTGAGTGATAAATTAGGTTCTGGACCCAATTGCATCATGTGTGTATCTGTGTTTGTGTGTTTAGGCTCCTCACAACTGGTCAACTCAATTCTGACAGCATCTACCCATGGTAGCCTCAGATTCCACAGCTTAAGTGTTCGGTCCTACAAGACTCACCCCTGGTCTTCACCCGCCCTCATCTGATGCCAGTTTCAAGCTCAGGTTGTTACCAGTACTTGTGACCAACTGACTATAAATGAGAGAGGTTCCCGTGACCCCCCTCCTCAGGTTCAATTAATTTGCTAGTAGTACACTCACAGGACTCAGAGAAACATTTCATGTACCTCATCACCAGTTTATTATAAAAGGATATAACTCAGGAACAGTCACATGGAAGAGATGCATAGGGCAGTATATGTCAGAAGGGCTCGGAGCTTCCATGCTGTCTCCAGGTGCCAGTCTTCCCATCATCTCCGTGTTTTCACCAACATAGATGCTCTCTGAACTTCTTTTTGCTGGGGTGGGGGAGGTTATGGAGGCGTTATTACATATGCATGATTGATTAAATCATTGGCCATTGGCAAGTGATTGAAACTCTGGCTCCTCTCCCCTCCCCAGAGGTGCTGGGGTGTCTGGGGGTGTGAGTGGGACTGAAAATTCCACGCTTTAGTCACATGGTGTCTCCATTGGCAACCAGCCCCCATCCTGCGCTGCTTTTCAACAGTCACCTTCATGAATATAAACCCAATTGTGATGGAAAGGGCTTGTTACGAATAACAACACTTACTTCACCCTTCTGACCCTGGAGCATTTTCAGGAACTGAGAACAGGAGATCAAATATTATTCCATTGCTTTTATCAGTCAGGAAATTCCAAAGGTTTTGGGAGCTGTGAGCAGGGAACTGTGGATGAGGACCTGATTTATGTGAGAAGTGTATGTTGGTCATCTGAATGACCAAATATATATGTATATATTTCTTATAAATCACAATATCACACATATATCCTTCCTTTATAAAACTATTTTACATTTTTGAATCAGCGAATGGAAAAAAAGTACAAATGGACTCTTTCCTTTATCCCACCATTTCTTTCCCAAGGATTTAGTTATGTTACCAATTGTTGCAGGTTCTTGCCCTCAAGTTAAAACCAGTAGATCAAGTGCTCATTGGGATATTTTGGAGACTGGACTATGGAGTGAAGAGAAAATAGTAAGATTCACAAGAAATGATTCCTGCTCTTTTTTGGGAGAAAACTGGGCATTTCATAACATGAGAGATCAGTGTGTAACCCAGGAGAGGCATTTGAGGTGAGTGGCACTCCCACAAGGAGAAGGGGGATCTCGGCAGAGTGTTAGACTCACTTGAAATTAAATAAAAGATATAAGCCTAGCTAAACAATTGTGTACTCACAGAGTTTTTTACAACACAATACTTTTATAAATGTGATGTAGACATTGAGCATCTGAAACTTAATTCAGTAGGAAATTTCAATGATCAGGAAACCCAGTATGTAAAAAACACTGAAAGTTATGTCTCTATTTGAGCCCTCAGCTGGAGCATTAAACTTGTTGAACTTTGTCACAATGCAGAGAGTGCCAAAAACATGCCAGTTCAGTGCACATGGCAAATATGTAGTCAAAATAATCATTAACATCCATCAATAAATTATTAATAAAGAAATCATTATTGTTAATCCCTAATACTGTGCTTCCTATTGAACAGAAATCATTTGGTGGAGAGTCTCTGTGAAGGTAAAGAAGGCCATCAATGTCTAGAAACCCAGAACCAGCTTACACATCTTACAGTGCATAAGGGTTATCTGACTGCAATTCAGCCCTGTAAATGCACTAAGTGTGGAAAAACCTTCAGGGATTGTTCTTTCCAGAGGAATCAGCAAAGATCTCACACCAGACACAAACCTCATCCATGTGAAGAATGTGGGCGAACCTGCACCTGTGTCTCATGCCTAAATCCTCCTGGTGGAACAGACATTGTAGAGAAAACTGACAAACGTCAGGATGATGGGAGAACATCTAAAAGATATGTAAAAAGTCACAGTAGCAAACAGTCTTTAGAGTGTAAGAAATCTAAAAAATCATTCACTTGCCTGTCATCTGTCCAGCAACATGTGAGAGGTCATTATGGACAGAAAATCCACGTTTGTGAAGTATGTGGGAAATCCTTCAGTTATTATTCCCAGATTGCACGGCATGTGAGAACTCACACTGGAGAGAAACCCTATGAATGTAAAGAATGTGGGAAAGCTTTCACTCGCATCTCACACTTCCGAGAACACGTGAGAATGCACACTGGAGAGAAACCCTATGAATGTAAGCAGTGTGGCAAAGCATTCAGTTGGTGCACTTACCTTCGAGAACACATGAGAACACACAGTGGAGAAAAGCCCTATGAATGTAAGCAGTGTGGCAAAGCCTTCCCCTATCTCAAATCCCTGCAAGGACATGTGAGGATCCACACCGGAGAGAAACCTTATGCGTGTAAGGAATGTGGGAAATCCTACAGTTGTCCCAAATACTTTACAAAACATGTGAAACCACACAGTGCAGTAAAACCCTATGAATATACAGAATGTGGGAAAATGTTTATTACTTCCTCATCCCTTTGACAACATATAAAAACACACAGTGAAGAGAAGCCCTATCAGTGTCAGCAGTGTGGGAAAGCCTACAGGTATCTGATATCCCAGCAAAGACACATGAAGACACACACTGGTGAAAATTCTGAATACAAAACTGTGGAGAAGCCTTCTTTCTCCCTTAAAACCTCATTGTAAATGGAAGCAATCACATGGAGTGAAATCTTATGAATGGAAAGAATGTGGAAAAACCTTCAGCACTTCACTTATTTTGTAAATGAAAACTCAGGGCACAACAGAAATCTTTTGTTATAAACATGGTTTTTCCTTTGTAAGTGCCTCATCCTGAATAGGGATCCCAGTGTATTAATTTCTAGTTCATGTTGCTGATCTGAACACTTAAGATAATTAACTAACCCTCCATGTTCCTTTCATCTGTACCTCATATAAAACTTGTCTCGTTTCCATTATAGTGTCTTTTGAACCCAGGGATGTTAAGTGGTTTTTGGTTTTGGGGGTTTTTTCAGGTGCAACTTGGTATAATTTTAGATGAAAAAATTTTTGATTCTTATGTCCCATTGTTTTCCTCGTATGTGATCATGAGACCTGTGTTGTTGAAATGTCTTTCCTGGTCTATTGTTACAGATACTGGAATTTTCTGACTCAATGTTTACCCTCCCCTGGAGTATTAAACTGAAAGGTGTGTCTTTTCCATGTTTCCTTGTTGCATATATGTTCTCACAGAAATTAGTAATTGTGCAAGGTCTTGGAGGTCATTCTGTCTCATCTGATTATGTTCATAAATTTGGCCTCTGTTCATGTCCATGATCTTGGTTGGAAATTGGACATGATCCATGGAGTTAAGAAGAGTGACTTGCTGGCATGAAGATGAAAGCTCCTGTCCAGACGGTTCTACTGAATTGTGTTGTCAGCTTGGGTGAGGTGGGAAACTGTATATCCAGAGTCCTTCTGTTAGTGGTTCTGAGTTAAAGTTCATGGGGAAAAAGAAGATGAATGAGGTCTGGAAAGCAGAAGCGGGGAAACCATGATTCTCGGGTGTTCTGTACCATCAGGAGACAGAGATGCATGGCAACCTGGTGAGCCTGGGTTCCAGCACCGTTTTCTGACTTCTGGCTCTGCCCATGTGGAACAGCTCCCAACCAGACATGTGTTTGATGTTAGTTCCCTGTTGGGCAGCAGATTCCACACTTGTCTACAAGTTCCTTCATGGATCGTCTTTGGTTTTCAAGTGCGCACAGATCCTTGCATGTTCCTATGGCTCTTTGGTGTCCATCAGCCTACTTCTTCAGGCTTCAGAAGATCACCTAGTGATTTACTCATATCCTGTGACCCCCCCGCCTTCATGTCCGATGATTCTCATAATTATGTGATTTCTGTAAAAAGCATCTTGTTCCTTTAGTAGAGAGGCTGTTTCCTTCCCAACCAAATGCAGGAAACTTACTTCCCTGGTTGCATTGTTGAGGCTGCACTGACCCTACATTTGTTGTTTCTGGTTACTTCTATGATTGCAGTAAGCACTTTTGAATGTATTTGGCCTATTGTGAGTGTTTTCTCTCTCTCTCTCTCTCTCTCTCTTTTTTTTTTTTGGCTGTGTTGGGTCTTCGTTGCTGCGCATGGGCTTTCTCTAGTTGAGGCAAGTGGGGGCTACTCTTCGTTGCAGTGCACAGGCTTCTCATTGTCATGGCTTCTCTTGTTGCTGAGCATGGGCTCTAGCAGGCTCAGTAGTTGTGGCACTCGGGCTTAGTTGCTCTGCGGCATGTGGGATCTTCCCAGACTAGGGATCGAACCCATGTCCACTGCATTGGCAGGTGGATTCTTAATCACTGCACTACCAAGGAAGCCCATGTTTTCTCTTATAGCTGACTGCTCTCTAAGCCATAAACCTACTATATTTACTTACCTTGCATTTATATATGTGATTACCCAGTGTTTAATTATTTCATTTTTTAAATGTTTTGTTTGTATTCATACTTGATAGACCAGAGTTGTCAATAATTATACAATAATCAGAAAAACAAGCTGCAAGTTGGTGTCCAACAATCCCCTATGCATTGGTCCGTCTATCTGCATGATGGCTTATAGTACTGAGAGAAATAGCTTCTTTACCTGTACCTTCCAAATCTCTTGCAAATTAGGCTATTGGTGAATTATAACCCGAAATTATAAAGACGATTCTGGGAAGTATACATCCCAGCCTTACCCACAATGAAATAACGCAATGCAATAGAACCATATCTACCTTTCATTGACCTTTCATAAGTAGCACAGTAGGGGTTAGAGGGATATGAAGATGGAGATTATATGTATATATATAAAGTATATATATGTATAAAATATTTCTGGTTCCAGAATATAGTATAAGCAGAACAATAAAATAACTATTTCAGGTAACACTGGAAGTTGATACTTAAATGGATTATAAAATATAGAAAAGTATACATATACCGAGTTCAGTAGTGTCCCCCCAAATTTTATGTTCATCTGGAACCTCAGAATATGATCTTTTTTGGAAATAAAATCTGATTAATGGGAGACAGTAGGTCCAAAATGGAGTCACTTGTGTTAGGCAGCCAACCAAGACTTAATAACGAACCAAATTGCAGTGTCAACTTTTCCCAGGAATGTGGCCTTTAACCAGTGAACCTGGCATTTCCTGGTCTACAGTAGGAGGTATACCACTGACAGACTGCCCACACTTCTATTCCCCTCAGAAGGGTGACCTTGCCTGAAACAATGCACTCTTTGCTAATAACTTTCCTTTTTCTGCCCCTTCTCTGTCTTTACAAAACCATTATTTCTGCAGGTCTTTGGACCTCCTTTCTGCTTGCTAGATGAAATGCTGCCTGATTCATGAGTCGTTTAATAAAGCCTATTAGATGTTTCAAAGTTACTCAGTTGAATTTTTGTTATTTGGCAGATTTGGTGGCAGTGATAGGATCTGAGGTGAACTTCTGATGGCATTTGGGGACAATGAGAAACACAGATGTGGTATGAGGGAACCCTTTGAGTTCACTGTCTTTCTCATTATCTCTGAGGGCTATGGGTAAGTTCCTCTTGGTTCTGATCTCTACTCTCTTTCCCTTGAGCTCTCACTCTAATTGGCTTTTTAGTTTGCAATTTCCAGGTGTTTGAGTGGAAAACTCCAACCCTTTTTTCTGTCCCAAGATCCACATGGGGACTGTTAGTAGCAGCTTGCAGTTCCCCAACCATGTGGAGCTCTTATTCCACAGTCCCCATTTATTGAGGTCTGCTGGATCAACCCTTTCCCTACTCCACAATTCCACAGAAATTGCTGGTGGTGCACACAGAGCTTCCTCTTGGGAAGTCTGCAGTAATTAGGTTTGTGCTGTGACCAACACAACCTGCTGCACCTGGATCAACATTTCTGGGAAAGTTGAAACTCAGTTACTTGAGCTCACTGAGTGAGCCCCTTGGCTGAAAGAGGTGACTCTTTTGGTGGGGTCTTTCTTTGACTTATTTGATTTTGATTGGTTTGGGCCATGGAGAATGTGGCTGTAAAGTGCACTCTGAACATTGGGCATTATCTTTTTTCACTATTAATAATACACTTTCTGGTGCACTGTATCCCCTCAAGAGTCTCTAATATGTGTTCATAGCTGCGAACCACCAAGCAAATAAATGATCTAAGACTGGAATGTCAGAAAAGAAACAAGAGAATGACCAAATTCAAAATGGAAACCTAAAGCTGTGACCTGTGAATATCACAAGGATTAAGCAAAAAGTGTCATGACATATGGATACCACACAAAGGATCAACAAAATTCACAAAGCTGTTAGAACTACAGGGTAACAGCTGAGTGGTACTAATGCCTTAAATTTTGAACACATTTCTCAGTAAAGCTGAGACTGATCAAAAGAGGGAAATGTTTAAAAAAGGAAACTACAGGCCTCAAATGGAGTCACTTGTGTTAGGCCCCAGCCCCACTGCAGCAAACCAAGTCTTAATACCTAACTGAATAGCAATGTCAACCTTTCCCAGGAATGTAACCTCTAGCCAGCCAACCTGGCATCTCTTGGTCAACTGTAAGAGGTACTCCACTGGTAGTCCCCTTCGGTTTCCCTTAGGAAGGTGACTTTGCCTGAAACAATGCATTCTTTGACGATAATTTCTTTTTTTCCACCTCATTCTTTCATTTTCTATAGCTCTTTGGAGCTCCTTTCTACTTGCCAGATGAGATGTTGTCCAATTCATGACTCATTTAATAAAGACAATTAAATCTTTTAAATATGATCAGTTGAATTTTTGTGTAACAGGTCTTTTCAGATATACTCAACACGAGTTCATAACAGATTAGAGTAGGTCTGGTCCAACGATGGACATCCTTTTAGAAAGAGGGAACTTTGGACACAGAGACCTGCACAGAAGATAGATATGTCCTCACCACATGAGGTAAAAAGGAGCAAATTGGCATGATCTGTCCACAAGCCAAGGAATGCAAACGGTTTTTGGCAACCACCAGAAGCTAGGAGAGAGGCCTGGAACATTCTCCCTCACAGCATCCAGAAGGAGCCAGTGCTGCCAACAGCTTGACTGCAGAATGTCAGACTCCATTGCTTTGTTAGGGGACCTGAGTAGACTAATATAGTTCCTAAGGCAGCAGTAGACCTTAGGTATTTTTAGGATAGCCAGAGGCCAGTGCACCTGGAGCAGAGTGAAATGATGGAACAATAGCAGAGGTCAGAGGAGAGTGTGAGGGTGGTAGGCACATCATGTATTGATGCACTGGCCTGCCATGGTGCACTGACATTGGCTGTGAGTGACATGGAGCCTAAAATTGACCAGATGAGGCAGCTTCACAAGATCCTTCTGTTTCCTTGAGAACAGGCACTAGGATGATGTTGTCAGTCAAGGTAGTAGAT